TTCACGAGAGCATAATTCCGTCAGTTTTCCATCAAATTTTGTTCTTTTGGTGTCATTACAATTGGAAAAGATTCTCTATCATTTCATAAGAAAAAAATTTTTTTTTTTCGGAATTTTTTTTCATATATTTGAATTAGCCAGTTGGGCTTTTACCAGTTTGTTGAGTGGGAACACTGATCACACGTGCGGTGGTCTGCTACAGTATACACATCAACCACAACCAGTCACTCAGTCAGTTCATAGCTATGGTGGGGGATGTCTGTATCTCTCTCTTGCTCTGTGACTCCCTTGGCAGTTTCCTGTTTGCACTATGTCTGCCAAGAAGCATATGTAAAATGAAGCCTTTCTCAAGATGGGTTTCACAAGCATCATTAAGAACTCTGTGGTCAAGCCGCCATGTGTCATTTGTAACAAAGTTTTGAGTCATGAGAGTATGAAGCCAAGCAAACTGAAGGTCCATTTTGAGTCTTGCCATGGACATCTGGTGGACAAAAGCTTGGACTTTTCAAGTGAAAAGAAGCTTCTCTGAAGGCCAGTCGTATCGATTCCACTGGTCACTTCGCTTGTCAGAATGAAGCAGCATTGGAGGCTTCATACAGAATTGCTCTAAAAATCATGCAGACCAAGAAGCCTCATACCACTGGCGAAGACCTGCAAGGCTTAAGCCTTGCATTCTGGAAGCAACGAAGGTGGTTCTTGGAGAACAGCAGGCAAACAAGTTGAGGGCAATTTCCCTCTCGAATGATACAGTCGAAAGTCGGATCTCAGACATGAGGTAGTGGCTGCTGTGAGTAGCCCAGCACATTCACTGCAACTGGATGAATTAACAGATGTTGCTTTGTGTTCCCAACTTCTTATTTATGTTTGTTACCTTGACAGGGAAGTTATGAAGGAGGAGTACTTGTTTTCTGAACCATTGGCCACAACCACTTGTGGAGAAGATATTTTCAAAATCCTTGAAGATTTTCTCCTTAAACACAAACTAGGCTGGGAAGCACTTGCCGGAATGTGTACAGATGGGGCTCCTTCTATGACCGGTTGCAAATCTGGCTTCAAAGCCTTCATCGATATGCTTTGGCGATGAAGACTCTCCCACCTGGACTTCAAGAAGTGCTCACAGGTGTTGTAAATATTGTGAATCATATCCAAGGGAGTGTAACAACTTCAAGGATTTTTAAAATGCTTTGTGAAAAAATAGGTGCTGGTTTCTCTGTTCTCCTATTTCACACAGAGGTACGTTGGCTCTCATGTGGCAAGATTCTAAATAGCGTGCTACAACTTCGAGAGGAAATACGAGGTTGTATGGTGAAGGAGAATCATCTTCGTGAAAAGATGCAGGATGACTGTTCTGTAACAAAGGCTGCCTACTTGGCAGATTTCTCCTCTGAAGTGAATTCCCTGAATATTTCACTCCAAGGAAACCTTACAATGCTGCACACGGCTGATGATATAGAGGCAGCATTCAAGTGTAAGATTCAATTTTACCAGAAAAGAGTTGAGGACGGTGACACAACTTTCTTCATTCAGATGACGACTCTCCTGGATTCTATGCCAGATGCTTGAATGCAGTTTCCATGAGAAGATCCCAGCTCATCTTTTGGCAGTGAACGATGCCATCGAAAGTTACTTTCCAGGACTGGACGACCTCTGCACTGATGTATGGCTCTCCAGACCCTTTTCAGTCAAGGACAATGTTATCAGTGATACTGATGTTGCTGCTCAGGTAGAATTTCTTCAAATTCGTGAGGATTCTCAGCTGAATGTTGATTTTACTGAACAAGAGCTCCCAACATTTTGAGCAAAAGTTCAGGACAACTGTCCCATTCTTTCAATGTGTGCACTGACCACGCTGATCCAGTCTCAGTCAACCTATCGCTACGAGGTTGGATTCTCAGCAATGGTAAAACTGAAAACAAAGGCACGCAATAGGCTTGTGAGCAATGCTGACATGAGGTGCTGCCTGTCAAGCACTGCTCCTCGCTTTGATAGACTTATTGCTGCAAAACAATTTGAACCCTCCCACTGAGTGAATAAGAAGTAGGTTTTGCACAATGTTCAATAGTTCTGTGGAATTTGCAATGTTCTGGCATTGGGTTATTTCTCTATTTATTTTGTTTGAAATATTTTTAAGTTTTCAGTGCTATGACTCAGAACCATAATAACACGTTTGTAAACAAACTATGGAACAGGTGGGGCTTGAACTCATGGCAAGTGAGTCATAAAACTCCAGGCCAGTGGCTTGAGCACTGGCCTGGAATTTCACCACTCACTTGCAGTGAGTTCGAGCCCCGACCTGTACCATGGGTTTTTTCAGTGTTATTTTTAATTCTTCATGACTTTTCCAGGTTTCAGCTAGAATACATTTCAATTCACATCATAATTATTTTACCCATTTTAACCCTTAAACTGTCCAAACGTAGATCAATGTTCACGTGCATACCGCTCTGAATATTTTGGGAAAAAACCCAATTGTTTGTGTTTTTTTGGATTTGGAAAAGGCGTATGACAGGGAGGACAGGGGGGCAATGTGGCAGATGTTGCAGGTGTATGGTGTAGGAGGTAGGTTACTGAAAGCAGTGAAGAGTTTTTATGAGGATAGTGAGGCTCAAGTTAGAGTATGTAGGAAAGAGGGAAATTATTTCCCAGTAAAAGTAGGCCTTAGACAAGGATGTGTGATGTCACCGTGGTTGTTTAATATATTTATAGATGGGGTTGTAAGAGAAGTAAATGCGAGGGTCTTGGCAAGAGGCGTGGAGTTAAAAGATAAAGAATCACACATAAAGTGGGAGTTGTCACAGTTGCTCTTTGCTGATGACACTGTGCTCTTGGGAGATTCTGAAGAGAAGTTGCAGAGATTGGTGGATGAATTTGGTAGGGTGTGCAAAAGAAGAAAATTAAAAGTGAATACAGGAAAGAGTAAGGTAATGAGGATAACAAAAAGATTAGGTGATGAAAGACTGGATATCAGATTGGAGGGAGAGAGTATGGAGGAGGTGAATGTATTCAGATATTTGGGAGTGGACGTGTCAGCGGATGGGTCTATGAAAGATGAGGTGAATCATAGAATTGATGAGGGAAAAAGGGTGAGTGGTGCACTTAGGAGTCTGTGGAGACAAAGAACTTTGTCCTTGGAGGCAAAGAGGGGAATGTATGAGAGTATAGTTTTACCAACACTCTTATATGGTTGTGAAGCATGGGTGATGAATGTTGCAGCGAGGAGAAGGCTGGAGGCAGTGGAGATGTCATGTCTGAGGGCAATGTGTGGTGTGAATATAATGCAGAGAATTCGTAGTTTGGAAGTTAGGAGGAGGTGCGGGATTACCAAAACTGTTGTCCAGAGGGTTGAGGAAGGGTTGTTGAGATGGTTTGGACATGTAGAGAGAATGGAGCAAAACAGTGACTTCAAGAGTGTATCAGTCTGTAGTGGAAGGAAGGCGGGGTAGGGGTCGGCCTAGGAAAGGTTGGAGGAAGGGGGTAAAAGAGGTTTTGTGTGCGAGGGGCTTGGACTTCCAGCAGGCATGCGTGAGCGTGTTTGATAGGAGTGAATGGAGACAAATGGTTTTTAATACTTGACGTGCTGTTGGAGTGTGAGCAAAGTAACATTTATGAAGGGGTTCAGGGAAACCGGCAGGCCGGACTTGAGTCCTGGAGATGGGAAGTAGAGTGCCTGCACTCTGAAGGAGGGGTGTTAATGTTGCAGTTTAAAAACTGTAGTGTAAAGCACCCTTCTGGCAAGACAGTGATGGAGTGAATGATGGTGAAAGTTTTTCTTTTTCGGGCCACCCTGCCTTGGTGGGAATCGGCCAGTGAGATAATAAAAAAAAAAAAAAATGAAGAGTGCATTTTTCCTGGCATCCCCAAATTTTGTCATACTGCACAGACTGAGTGCACAGACTCATTCTCTCATGTCTAGGCAACTCAGGCTTATCATGCCAAAGTTGAAAGCATGTAAAATAAAACGCAGATCTATGATCGGAGCGCTACGCACGTGGACGTAGCTCTACATTTGGACAATTTAAGGGTTAAAGTTCCTCAAAATTTACAGTAGATCTATACACATGATATATGAAAATGAATTAATTTTTTGCCAGAGTCATCAGGGTTCAACATATACACACCGTAAGGTTATACTCCAGTCAGCGTCCAAAAAGAGTTTTCCAAAAAAATTATGTTCTATCTACAGCAAGAATTTCTAATGCATTAAATAACAAGTATTCAGGAAGCTTCTAGTCAATGCACATCTCAGGTTACACACATCAGCATGTAACTAGTCGACACACATCTCAAGCTGCACACATCAGCATGTACAAACAAGGCACTTATGAACCAATAAAAATTATATGACTGCCAAGTTGTAGTACCAATGTGGGACACATAACCCTCCTTTATACTGTACTATTGTTTTGCATACAAATAAATTGGTAAATAAATAAAAAAAAAAGGACTGTAGCTCCTTTGTAAGTCAGGGACCTCATGTACTGGTCTTGTGCTCTACTATAGATTTTTTTAACACACATACACACACACAAAAAAAAACACATTCACAATCACTTATTCAGTAGCTCTCTTGTCAGAAGCATGAAAACTTAATTTAAATGACCTCCTTCAGAGTGTAGGTATTGTTTTTCCCACCTCCAGGATTCAACTCTAGCTATTTTTTTTTTTTTTTTTTTTTTTTTTCAACAAGTCGGCCGTCTCCCACCGAGGCAGGGTGACCCAAAAAAGAAAGAAAATCCCCAAAAAGAAAATACTTTCATCATCATTCAACACTTTCACCACACTCGCACATTATCACTGTTTTTGCAGAGGTGCTCAGAATACAACAGTCTAGAAGCACAAACAATAAATTAGTAATACTGCAAATCAGACAGGAAAGACAAAACATCAGGGAAAGCATCTCATTATTCAAGACAAAGACCCTACTTGATGTAATTCAAGTACAGTGCTGTATATTAATACTAAAGGAAAATTTATGAAAAAAAAAAAGTGTGTCACTTAACCTTTTTTAGGAGTGCTTGGCTCAGATGCAGGAGTTGTGTGTTGTTGTCCTCCCTGAGACACAGTAACAGGAGCTGTTAACAGACGATATTCTGTGTTGACATCCCAGAGAGCGTGACGGGTGGAGTCCAACAGATAGCGACGTACTTCATCCAGGTCGACGCGTCCGCTCTCCCACACTTTAAACTGAAGCATTGCCATTGGTCCTGCATTAAAAAAAGGCAGAAATGTATTCACAAGATTTAAAGAAAACATACAGAGATTTAAATTTTTGCACTATGTTAAAATGTAAAGACTATGAAGTGCATGTTTTTGGCACCAAAACAAATTATACTGAAAACTTTCACAAAATACATCTATCAGTGAACACTGCTCCATCTATCACTGAACACTGCACCATCTATCACTGAACACTGCACCATATATCACTGAACACTGCACCATCTATCAATGAACACTGCTCTATCACTGAACACTGCACCATCTATCTCTGAAGACTGCACCATCTATCACTGAACAGTGCACCATCTACCATCTATCACTGAACACTACACTATATATCACTGAAGACTGCACCATATATCACTGAAGACTGCACCATATATCACTGAACACTGCTCCATCTATCACTGAACACTGCTCCATCTATCACTGAACACTGCACCATATATCACTGAACACTACACCATATATCACTGAACACTGTACCATATATCACTGAAGACTGCACCATATATCACTGAACACTGCTCCATCTATCACTGAACACTGCACCATATATCACTGAACACTGTACCATATATCACTGAACACTACACCATATATCAATGAACACTACACCATATATCACTGAACACTACACCATATATCACTGAACACTGCACCATTATCACTGAACACTACACCATTATCACTGAACACTACACCATATATCACTGAACACTACACCATCTATCACTGAACACTGCACCATTATCACTGAACACTGCTCCATCTATCACTGAACACTGCACCATCTAACACTGAACACTGCATTATCACTGAACACTGCACCATCTATCACTGAACACTGCACCATCTATCACTGAACACTCAAGTCCAGCTAGCTGGTTCTTCTCAATTCCTACATAAATGTTATCTAGCCCAAACTCCGATAACATATCAAAATATAAAATTTATAATGTAATAAATAAAAATCAGATTAACTGAATAATTTAACAAATCATAAATTTGGAAACTAAATAACAGGATCTTTATGTCAAAGAGATGAGAGGATATAAACCCAGCCACATATTTCAATGGAAGTATATGAACCAGCTGTCTCCCATTGAGACTGGTTGGCATAACAAGAGAAACAAAAGTTGTTGCTTTTTTCATCAAACCAGCCATATCCCACTAAGGTAGGATGACCTATAAAGAAAAATGAAAGTTTCTCATTCTAACTTTAGTAATGTGTGCAGGAGAAGGTGTTACTATCCCCTTGCTTCCAGCATTTTTGTCGCCTCTTATGATGCGCATGACTTATGGAGGAAGGATTCTTTTTCACCTCTCCATGGAGAGTATAATACAATATGCCATCAAAAATATCAAGTCTATGTTAATGAATAAAATTATTGTTGTACACACATTGGGTACAAAAAAAAACAGTTGCTAGCTGCTGAAAAGTAAATTTACCTGACTGATATGTTTGGCAGAATGTATCACTCTTGCCTTTTGCATAACAATATACAGTGGACCCTCAACCAATGGCATTAATCCGTTCCAGAGAGCTTGCCGTTCGTCGAATTAATTTTCCCCATAAGAAATAATGGAAATAGAATTAATCTGTTCCTGACACCCCAAAGTCTGGATTTGTCCATTAAAAACAGAGTAGGGGAGTTAGTAGATGGGGAGAGGGAGGTATTAGGTAGATGGCGAGAATATTTTGAGGAACTTTTAAATGTTGAGGAAGAAAGGGAGGCGGTAATTTCATGCACTGGCCAGGGAGGTATACCATCTTTTAGGAGTGAAGAAGAGCGTAATGTAAGTGTGGTGGAGGTACGTGAGGCATTACGTAGAATGAAAGGGGGTAAAGCAGCTGGAACTGATGGGATCATGACAGAAATGTTAAAAGCAGGGGGGGATATAGTGTTGGAGTGGTTGGTACTTTTGTTTAATAAATGTATGAAAGAGGGGAAGGTACCTAGGGATTGGCAGAGAGCATGTATAGTCCCTTTATATAAAGGGAAAGGGGACAAAAGAGATTGTAAAAATTATAGAGGAATAAGTTTAACTGAGTATACCAGGAAAAGTATACGGTAGAGTTATAATTGAAAGAATTAGAGGTAAGACAGAATGTAGAATTGCGGATGAGCAAGGAGGCTTCAGAGTGGGTAGGGGATGTGTAGATCAAGTGTTTACATTGAAGCATATATGTGAACAGTATTTAGATAAAGGTAGGGAAGTTTTTATTGCATTTATGGATTTAGAAAAGGCATATGATAGAGTGGATAGAGGAGCAATGTGGCAGAGTTGCAAGTTTATGGAATAGGTGGTAAGTTACTAAATGCTGTAAAGAGCTTTTATGAGGATAGTGAGGCTCAGGTTAGGGTGTGTAGAAGAGAGGGAGACTACTTCCCAGTAAAAGTAGGTCTTAGACAGGGATGTGTAATGTCACCATGGTTGTTTAATATATTTATAGATGGGGTTGTAAAAGAAGTAAATGCTAGGGTGTTCGGGAGAGGGGTGGGATTAAATTATGGGAATCAAATTCAAAATGGGAATTGACACAGTTACTTTTTGCAGATGATACTGTGCTTATGGGAGATTCTAAAGAAAAATTGCAAAGGTTAGTGGATGAGTTTGAGAATGTGTGTAAAGGTAGAAAGTTGAAAGTGAACATAAAAAAGAGTAAGGTGATGAGGGTATCAAATGATTTAGATAAAGAAAAATTGGATATCAAATTGGGGAGGAGGAGTATGGAAGAAGTGAATGTTTTCAGATACTTGGGAGTTGATGTGTCGGCGGATGGATTTATGAAGGATGAGGTTAATCATAGAATTGATGAGGGAAAAAAGGTGAGTGGTGCGTTGAGGTATATGTGGAGTCAAAAAACGTTATCTATGGAGGCAAAGAAGGGAATGTATGAAAGTATAGTAGTACCAACACTCTTATATGGATGTGAAGCTTGGGTGGTAAATGCAGCAGCGAGGAGATGGTTGGAGGCAGTGGAGATGTCCTGTTTAAGGGCAATGTGTGGTGTAAATATTACGTAGAAAATTCGGAGTGTGGAAATTAGGAGAAGGTGTGGAGTTAATAAAAGCATTAGTCAGAGGGCAGAAGAGGGGTTGTTGAGGTGGTTTGGTCATTTAGAGAGAATGGATCAAAGTAGAATGACATGGAAAGCATATAAATCTATAGGGGAAGGAAAGAGGGGTAGGGGTCGTCCTCAAAAGGGTTGGAAAGAGGGGGTAAAGGAGGTTTTGTGGGCGAGGGGCTTGGACTTCCAGCGGGCGTGCGTGGGAGTGTTAGATAGGAGTGAATGGAGACGAATGATACTTGGGACCTGACGATCTGTTGGAGTGTGAGCAGGGTAATATTTAGTGAAGGGATTCAGGGAAACCGGTTATTTTCATATAGTCGGACTTGAGTCCTGGAAATGGGAAGTACAATGCCTGCACTTTAAAGGAGGGGTTTGGGATATTGGCAGTTTGGAGGGATATGTTGTGTATCTTTATACGTATATGCTTCTAAACTGTTGTATTCTGAGCACCTCTGCAAAAGCAGTGATAATGTGTGAGTGTGGTGAAAGTGTTGAATGATGATGAAAGTATTTTCTTTTTGGGGATTTTCTTTCTTTTTTTTTGGGTCACCCTGCCTCGGTGGGAGACGGCCGACTTGTTGAAAAAAAAAAAAAAATACATACAGAAAAAATGACAAATAAATATAAAGCACTAATAAAATGGATAAATGAACATTTAACATCACACTTACCTTTATTGACTTACCTTTACTGACTCGACTTGGTGGTGTATGACAGACACATAGGAGGCAAGAGGAAGACAAGTTTATTATGCTTCAATATGATGCTAATATCATCTCTATGGCTTATTTATCTATCACAATTCATCTAATGTGACATTAAAAACAATAGTAATAACATAGAAACATGATATATACTACTCTAGAATGAATAAAATTTGCCATAATGTATGAGAGGAGTAAATGGTGTAAGTGTTATTGTTGGGTTTAACCCTTTCAGGGTCGCCAGGCCCTCTCCCAGACTTGTTCTCAGGGTCACCCAAATTTAAAAAAAAAAAAAATTCTTATGAAAAGATAGAGAATCTTTTCCCGATCATAATGACACCAAAAGTATGAAATTTGATGGAAAACTCATGGAATTATGATCTCGCAAAGTTAACAGTCTCGATGATGTTTATGCATCGGCGATTTTGCCCACTTTGAGCCCTATTTTCGGCCAATTCCAGTGTACTAGTCGACAAAAATCATAACTATTTCGCTAGAACTCCATTTTTTCTATCAAATGAGTACAAGAAACCACCCATTTACCGATTTCAACTATCCAATACAGTGGTCAGAATTTAGCAATTTTGCCAATTTCACACAAATTTTAAAACATGCCAATTTCCAAATATTTTATTATTATCACACTGGCCGATTCCCACCAAGGCAGGGTGGCCCGAAAAAGAAAAACTTTCACCATCATTCACTCCATCACTGTCTTGCCAGAAGGGTGCTTTACACTACAGTTTTTAAACTGCAACATTAACACCCCTCCTTCAGAGTGCAGGCACTGTACTTCCCATCTCCAGGACTCAAGTCCGGCCTGCCGGTTTCCCTGAACCCCTTCATAAATGTTACTTTGCTCACACTCCAACAGCATGTCAAGTATTAAAAACCATTTGTCTCCATTCACTCCTATCAAACACGCTCACGCATGCCTGCTGGAAGTCCAAGCCCCTCGCACACAAAACCTCCTTTACCCCCTCCCTCCAACCCTTCCTAGGCCGACCCCTACCCCGCCTTCCTTCCACTACAGACTGATACACTCTTGAAGTCATTCTGTTTCGCTCCATTCTCTCTACATGTCCGAACCACCTCAACAACCCTTCCTCAGCCCTCTGGACAACAGTTTTGGTAATCCCGCACCTCCTCCTAACTTCCAAACTACGAATTCTCTGCATTATATTCACACCACACATTGCCCTCAGACATGACATCTCCACTGCCTCCAGCCTTCTCCTCGCTGCAACATTCATCACCCACGCTTCACACCCATATAAGAGCGTTGGTAAAACTATACTCTCATACATTCCCCTCTTTGCCTCCAAGGACAAAGTTCTTTGTCTCCACAGACTCCTAAGTGCACCACTCACTCTTTTTCCCTCATCAATTCTATGATTCACCTCATCTTTCATAGACCCATCCGCTGACACGTCCACTCCCAAATATCTGAATACATTCACCTCCTCCATACTCTCTCCCTCCAATCTGATATTCAATGTTTCATCACCTAATCTTTTTGTTATCCTCATAACCTTACTCTTTCCTGTATTCACCTTTATTTTCTTCTTTTGCACACCCTACCAAATTCATCCACCAATCTCTGCAGCTTCTCTTCAGAATCTCCCAAGAGCACAGTGTCATCAGCAAAGAGCAGCTGTGACAACTCCCACTTGTGTGTGATTCTTTATCTTTTAACTCCACGCCTCTTGCCAAGACCCTCGCATTTACTTCTCTTACAACCCCATCTATAAATATATTAAACAACCACGGTGACATCACACATCCTTGTCTAAGGCCTACTTTTACTGGGAAAAAAATTTCCCTCTTTCCTACATACTCTAACTTGAGCCTCACTATCCTCGTAAAAACTCTTCACTGCTTTCAGTAACCTACCTCCTACACCATACACTTGCAACATCTGCCACATTGCCCCCCTATCCACCCTGTCATACGCCTTTTCCAAATCCATAAATGCCACAAAGACCTCTTTAGCCTTATCTAAATACTGTTCACTTATATGTTTCACTGTAAACACCTGGTCCACACACCCCCTACCTTTCCTAAAGCCTCCTTGTTCATCTGCTATCCTATTCTCCGTCTTACTCTTAATTCTTTCAATTATAACTCTACCATACACTTTACCAGGTACACTCAACAGACTTATCCCCCTATAATTTTTGCACTCTCTTTTATCCCCTTTGCCTTTATACAAAGGAACTATACATGCTCTCTGCCAATCCCTAGGTACCTTACCCTCTTCCATACATTTATTAAATAATTGCACCAACCACTCCAAAACTATATCCCCACCTGCTTTTAACATTTCTATCTTTATCCCATCAATCCCGGCTGCCTTACCCCCTTTCATTTTACCTACTGCCTCACGAACTTCCCCCACACTCACAACTGGCTCTTCCTCACTCCTACAAGATGTTATTCCTCCTTGCCCTATACACGAAATCACAGCTTCCCTATCTTCATCAACATTTAACAATTCCTCAAAATATTCCCTCCATCTTCCCAATACCTCTAACTCTCCATTTAATAACTCTCCTCTCCTATTTTTAACTGACAAATCCATTTGTTCTCTAGGCTTTCTTAACTTGTTAATCTCACTCCAAAACTTTTTCTTATTTTCAACAAAATTTGTTGATAACATCTCACCCACTCTCTCATTTGCTCTCTTTTTACATTGCTTCACCACTCTCTTAACCTCTCTCTTTTTCTCCATATACTCTTCCCTCCTTGCATCACTTCTACTTTGTAAAAAACTTCTCATATGCTAACTTTTTCTCCCTTACTACTCTCTTTACATCATCATTCCACCAATCGCTCCTCTTCCCTCCCACACCCACTTTCCTGTAACCACAAACTTCTGCTGAACACTCTAACACTACATTTTTAAACCTACCCCATACCTCTTCGACCCCATTGCCTATGCTCTCATTAGCCCATCTATCCTCCAATAGCTGTTTATATCTTTCCCTAACTGCCTCCTCTTTTAGTTTATAAACCTTCACCTCTCTCTTCCCTGATGCTTCTATTCTCCTTGTATCCCATCTACCTTTTACTCTCAGTGTAGCTACAACTAGAAAGTGATCTGATATATCTGTGGCCCCTCTATAAACATGTACATCCTGAAGTCCACTCAACAGTCTTTTATCTACCAATACATAATCCAACAAACTACTGTCATTTCGCCCTACATCATATCGTGTATACTTATTTATCCTCTTTTTCTTAAAATATGTATTACCTATAACTAAACCCCTTTCTATACAAAGTTCAATCAAAGGGCTCCCATTATCATTTACACCTGGCACCCCAAACTTACCTACCACACCCTCTCTAAAAGTTTCTCCTACTTTAGCATTCAGGTCCCCTACCACAATTACTCTCTCACTTGGTTCAAAGGCTCCTATACATTCACTCAACATCTCCCAAAATCTCTCTCTCTCCTCTGCATTCCTCTCTTCTCCAGGTGCATACACGCTTATTATGACCCACTTCTCGCATCCAACCTTTACTTTAATCCACATAATTCTTGAATTTACACATTCATATTCTCTTTTCTCCTTCCATAACTGATCATTTAACATTACTGCTACCCCTTCCTTTGCTCTAACTCTCTCAGATACTCCAGATTTAATCCCATTTATTTCCCCCCACTGAAACTCTCCTACCCCCTTCAGCTTTGTTTCGCTTAGAGCCAGGACATCCAACTTCTTTTCATTCATAACATCAGCAATCATCTGTTTCTTGTCATCCGCACTACATCCACGCACATTTAAGCATTCCAGTTTTATAAAGTTTTTCTTCTTCTCTTTTTTAGTAAATGTATACAGGAGAAGGGGTTACTAGCCCATTGCTCCCGGCATTTTAGTCGCCTCATACGACACGCATGGCTTACGGAGGAAAGATTCTTTTCCACTTCCCCATGGACAATAGAAGAAATAAAAAAGAACAAGAGCTATTTAGAAAAAGGAGAAAAACCTAGATGTATGTATATATATATATGCATGTGCGTGTCTGTGAAGTGTGACCAAAGTGTAAGTAGGAGTAGCAAGATATCCCTGTTATCTAGCGTGTTTATGAGACAGAAAAAGAAACCAGCAATCCTACCATCATGCAAAACAGTTACAGGTTTTTGTTTCACAGTCATCTGGCAGGACGGTAGTACTTCCCTGGGTGGTTGCTGTCTACCAACCTACTACCTATAATTTCCTATTTCCTCTGTTCATTAGTCACGTCCCCATGTCCCTCTTACATTCTTTTGCTCTTCACTTCGAATTTTTATTCTCACAAAAAATAAATTTACTGTTATGCAGACTACTGCATTAGTGCAGAAATGTTATAAATAATATCAGCGTACTTGTGAAAGAATATTAGACTCACCAGCTCAATTGTACTGGATGCGTACCATGATTTGTTTAAATTTGAACTTTGGCAAAAATCGAAGATTTCTGCTACTTTGAGCTCAATTTCAAGGTACTTTTCATTGTAAAACCAATTGAAATCATCTCAATTTCTGTAATATGTCTTCCATTCTATAAAATGAGACCAGGAAAACTAGAATACCATCATAAATACCATACGAAAATACAGTGCAAAGTCGCTGTTTTAAACCAAAAACACTCAAAGTTTTTTTTTTCTCATTACACACTGCGTGCTGCAGGATTTTTTTTTATACTGCGCACACTGACCACATAGACAAATTCTTTCATATGTAGGCCTACCAGCATTCTCTCACTAAATTTGAGGGCGCTAGACTTTAGGCATACTAGTACATCAAAAACCCTGGTGCGTAAGCCATACTTGTACGTCAGAAACCCTGAAAGGGTTAAGGGCCACCACTGAGAGAAGCCGTGTTGGTGGCGGTGGAGGATTTTGCCAGCACCACCATCACACTTAAACAATGTATGTAATTTATAAATAAGAAATATTTACATTTTAATTTATAAATAAGTAAGTTTATTCCGGTATACACAAATACAGTTACATAGATTATCATACACAGCAGCATGTGTAAAGTACCTAGGATAACCCAAAAAAGTCAGAGTGACTTACATATTTCCATTAGGGTCCTTTTATATTTACACTTAATATATTTACTTTTATGCTTACACTTTTATATTTACACTTACCTTAGAGATGTTAGTTTAATTAGTTAGTTTGATGGAGATACTGACAGAAGTTTAGGGTAGTGGAAGATAGCACACCAGCGTATGTTTAGCGGATGTACACACATCCAACAACATTGGAGAGTTACTTTAGTGTTGTTTTTTTCTATCGCTTACTCATTGAACTTACTTGCTACACTGTTAATTCTACACTTTATCGCTGGCTGGCACTATAGGCTTTATCGATACTTGCTGCTTTAGTATTGTACATATCGTAGAATCACTGAATCACTGCAGAAGGCACATTCTCCCCTCTCTCTTCCTCCTCCACTTTGGTACTTTGCTACAAGTTTTTTCTTGAATTTTATTGTGTTTCTTTCCTTCTTTATCACAGGGGTGGCACTAGAAACTTTCTTTGGGCCCATGGTGGCTTATTTAGCACTTACAAGCACTAAAGACACTGGAATAATACAAAATATATCGCAGGTACACTTGGAATTGACTGAAACGGCTTGTAAACACTGGCTGTACATGGAGTCTTGGAGTGGCTGGGCCCGCTCAGGCCGCACTCCGGCCCCATGGACAAGTTCGGGACAAACATCGTTAGATGAGTTTTTCGACATTGGTAGAGCCATTTTTTTTATGCCAAAGAGTGCCATTAGGCGAATTTGCCGTCACTCAATGCCGCCGTTAGTTGTGGGTCCACTGTACATGCATGTGCACAATTTTAACAGATTTCCTCACATGGCATGAAGTAACTTCTGTGAAGTTTATAAAGTAACTAACCTGGACTTTTTGTTGGACTGGGTTGGTACTCTTGTGTGTGTGTGAGAGCTTCAAAATCCTGTTTCAAAAATACTTCCTGGTGTGCCTGCTGAGATGGTCGTGGACAACTGGAAAATATATTTAAGATATATTTCTCTGATTCACCACCACTGTCCTATTATTGTTAACAGGTACAAGCACAAGCAAAATCACACATCACATCACCACCACACTACATCAAACACCACTCCATACCACCGCACAATACCACTCACCACTACACTACACTACACTACACCACAATAAACATAACATAACATCACAATACATCACACACACGTCACTTCTGCCAGTGTTATGTAACTTATGTTGATCAATGACATCCTTCAGTCTGCTGACTATTACAATAAATTTACTATTTTTAAATGTGACTATTATATTTAACATCATTCAGTCTGATGACTATATTACACTATACTTACTATTCTTGAATCAGCTGACTCTTATAATTAACATCTTTGAATTTGTTGACTATTTTCTAGACTCATCATCCAAGAGTGTGTAATAGGATATGGTGTGAAAATAAGGACAGGTACTTAATAAAGATCCAAATGCTGTTCTATGGTCACTATCAATAATTATTACACATAATTGTTGAACTTTACACAAATAACTGCACATAAAAGAAAGAAAATTGCTGAATGGTAATGAGTTTTTAAATGCTACCCAAAAGATTCTCGCTATTAACAGTAAAGTTTATTTATTTATTTATTTAATGTCTTTGCAAACAGTACATTGAGATTGTGTATATACAATAGTGGGTTGCAATGCAAAGAGAGCCTCTATTATGCCTTGGCATTATGAGCCAACTTAACATTATTGTCTTACATTCTACTTAATACTAAGGGGTAGTATATCATAGTTGTACAGTAGGAAAGTAATTATTTCATAGTTGTACAGTAGAATATTAATTATAAATGAATACAAAATTTATATTTATATTCTAAAATGCTTTTGTGAAAAACAATGATTCAATTATATTCCTGTCAACAATGGATAAAAGGTTCAATGTGATTGTTTCAGTTATGATGTGGGAGCACATAGGTGAGTAAATGTATACTGAGTATTTAGCATTTAGTCTAGGGTGATTAAGTGGCTTTTGAGAAGTCTTTAATTGATTTTCAGACTGGGCTACTTTAATATCTTCTGGTAATGAATTCCATATTTTGGGGCCCTTTATGTGCATAGAGTTTTTACACAGTGTGATATGGACACAAGGTATATCAAAAAGAGAACTGTGTCTTGTGTTGTGGTCATGTGTCCTGTTTAGGTGGGTGAGGAAAAGTTTGAGTGGGGGGTTTATATTTGTGTGTATTGTTCTGTGTATGCAGTAGGTACGTGAATAAGTATGGATGTTCTTAATGGTAAGCAGATTCAGACTTGAAAATTGGTGGAGTGTGCTGGCAGGAGTGGGAATTTGTTATCATTCTTACTGCTTCCTTTTGCTGGGTTATTAGGGGTTTTAGGTGTTTGGATGTTGTTGATCCTCATGCACAAATTCCATATGTAAGATAAGGGTATATGAGTGAGTGGTACAGTGCCAGGAGAGCTGATTGTGGAACGTAGTACCTTATCTCTGATAGTATGCCTACAGTCTTGGAGATTTTCTTGGTGATTTGCTGTATGTGTGTCTGGAACTTAAGGCTACTGTCAAGATGGATACCTAAGAATTTTCCCTCTTTGAGTCTTGTGACTGATGATCCATTTAGCGTAATGTTAATTGGATCATTTGCAGCTTTGTTTCCAAACTGAATGAAATAGGTTTTATCAGTGTTCAGGGTAAATATGTTAGTCATCATCCAGGCAGATATTTTCTGTAATTCAGCATTGACTGTGTTTGCTAGTATGACTGCGTTTGGGTGGGAAAATACATATGTAGTGTCATCTGCAAATAATATGGGTTTGAGTAGCTGTGATGCATTCGGTAGATCATTGATGTAGATGAGAAAGAGGAGTGGTCCAAGGACGCTTCCTTGTGGGACTCCTACTGTGATTGGTTGGGTGGAGGAGTTTGCATCATTTGCATACACATATTGAGTTCTGTTACTAAGGTATGACTTTAGGTAGTTGAGGGAGTGGCCTCTGATACCATTGTGCATTAATTTGGAGTACAGTAGTTCATGGTCGACTGTATCGAAAGCTTTACGTAAATCAATGAAAATGCAAAGCAGGACTTCTTTCTTTTCAAGTGCAGTATATATTAGTTCTAGCATGTGTATGATAGCGTCATTTGTGCTTTTATTATTCCTGAATCCAAACTGACAAGGGTTTGATATGTTGTGTGAAACGAGGTAGGAATAGATCCGTCTATGAATTAATTTTTCAAAGATTTTAGTTGATACAAGTTATCTTAACTGCCAGTGACTGAAGGATAATGAAAGTAAATGCACTAGAAGTTGGTTATCTTACCTGACATGCTGTACAGTGCAGCCACTGCCATCCACTAGAGAAAAGGCTATACAAGCTATACCCTTGGCTGCAGACTTTCTAGGCCGCACAAACAAGAAGATATTTGGCTCACTACTAAGATCTTGATCTGTAGCTGAGAAGTCCTAGTGAAATAACATAATCAGATCAATATTGCATAGAGAAGTACTTCTTATTTTACATTAGCCATTTCCTATCAAGGTGTGGGTTAAATAACAGCTCTTTTGCCAAAAGTGTGAGAACATTACAATTCAAATGACTCTCCCAACAGCAACTTCCTCACCATTCCTTCAGAGTGCAGACACTGTAATTCTAATGTCCAGGACTCAAGTTCAGCTAACCAGTTTCCCTCAATAAATCCCTACATAGTTACATGTGTGAGCATGTTAGATAAGAGTGAATGGAGACGAATGGTTTTTGGGACCTGACGAGCTGTTAGAGTATGAGCAGGGTAATATTTTGTGAAAGGATTCAGGGAAACTGGTTAGCTGTACCTGAGTCCTGGATGTAGGAAGTACAATGCCTGCACTTTAAAGGAGGGGTTTGAGATATTGGCTGTTTCGAGTGACATCTAAACTATCTTATCTGAGCACTTCTGCAAAGACAATGATAATGTGTGAATGATGGTGAAAGTGTTTCTTTCTTTTTAGGGTCACCCTGCTTATACTACAACAGCACACAAAACTACAGAAAACACTTGTCTCCATTAATAAGAACATAAGAAAAAGGAACACTGCAGCAGCCTACCGGTCCATGCAAGGCAGGTCCTAGTCACCTCCTGGCTTAAACCAATGACCCATCTAGTCAGGTCAGGTCACATACACTTAAGGAAGGTGCATGGCATCAGACCTATTACCACAAGCTAGTCAGATCCAGCTCACACCCACCCACACCCACTCATGTATTTATCCAACCTATTTTTAAAACTACACAGCAACTTAGCTTCTATGATAGCACTCAGGAATTTATTCCACTCATCCACAGATCTATTACCAAATCAGTGCTTTCCTATATTCTTACTGATTCTGAATTTTTCCAACTTAAAACCATTGCTTTGAATCCTGTCTAGGCTAAATATTTTTAGCGCGCTATTTACAAGGGGCTTGTAACCCCTTCTCCTGTATTCTTTACTAAATTTAAAAGGAGAAACTTTCGTTTTTCCTTTTGGGCCACCCTGCCTCGGTGGGACACGGCCGGTGTGTTAAAAGAAGAAAGATTTACATTCTCTTCATTTATTCCTGTTTTCCATTTATACACCTCAATTATATCTCCCCCTAATTCTATGTCTTTCTAAAGAGTGCAGATTCAGGCCCCTCTGTCTATCCTCATAGGAAAGATTTCTGATACATGGGATCAACTTTGTTATCCTCCTTTGTATGTTTTCCAGTACATTTATATCCATTCTGTAATACGGTTACCAGAACTGTGCAGCATTGATGCTCCTTGAAATGAAGCCAAGGATTCTGTTTGCTTTATCTTGAACACTTATGCACTGCTGTCTTGGTTTTAGATTACTGCTAACCAGAACTCCCAAATTCTTTTCGCAATCAGTAATATTAAGATTTACATTATTTAGTTTATATGTGGCACGGGTATTTTCTTGTCCAATGTTTAGAACTTTGCATTTGTCTATATTAAACTGCATCTGTCACTTCACTGACCACTGCACCAGTTTATTCAAACCATCCTAGAGTGCTCTAATGTCCTCATTAGAATGAATTAGGCAACCTATTTTGGTGTCATCAGCAAATTTGCTTATGGTGCTGTTTATCCCCTCATCTATGTCATTTATATAAACTGTAAATAACGAAGAGCCCAACACTGACCCTTGTGGAACACCACTCTGATTTCTCCCCGTTGATGTAAACTCTCTGCTGCCTATCTGCCATGCCGCTACCCAGGAAAAAATTTCTCCTCCTATTCTGTGTGCCTTAATTTTCCTTAATAGCCTCTTATGTGGAATTCTATTAAAAGCCTTACTGAAGTCCATATACACAATATCATATTCATTACCATGATCTACCTCCTCAAATACCTTGGTGAAAAAGTTAGTAAATTCATAAGGCAGGAGCGCCCCTTTGTAAAACCGTGCTGAGATTCAGTAATCAATTTATACCTTTCAAGATGCCTTGGCAATTATTAATTCCATAAATTTTCCCACTATGGAGGTAAGGCTTATTGGTCTATAGTTCAAAGCAAAGGGCTTGTCTCCTGCTTTTGTAAATAGGTATCAAACAGTTCATCAGGGCCTGGAGATTTGTTTGATTTTAATTTCTCTATTTGTCTGAGGACCATGCCACTAGATATCCTAATCGTGAAAGTTAAGACACATGTGCAACATCTGGGTATCTTTATTGTAGACGTTTCGCCATCCAGTGGCTTTATCAATACAAATTCTAGGACATAACTTGAAGACAGTAGGACTATATACAGAAGATGAGGTAATCAGTCCCTCAACCTAGGAGTAGGTGCGAAGAGCACCGTAGTCGTAGGCTGAGGGACTGATTACCTCATCTTCTGTATATAGTCCTACTGTCTTCAAGTTATGTCCTAGAATTTGTATTGATAAAGCCACTGGATGGCGAAACATCTACAATAAAGATACCCAGATGTTGCACATGTGTCTTAATTTCATCTTGTCGGTATTATATACCATTCTTGCACATCCTAATCGTGCATAGTTTATCATCATCCTGTTCTACATAATTCATCATCTGGAATTTTGCTAGTATCTTCCTGTATAAAAACTGAGAGGGAATAAGGGTTAAAAATTTCACACATTTCCTTATCACTGTGAGTTACTTTTATCACCTGAGTTACTTCTAAGTGGGCCTATCTTGTCCATAATCTTACTTATATATATCTGATCTAGCATACTCTCACTTGCCTCTTGGATGCTCAAGTCACTAGCACTCAAAAACTCATGTCAACGATTCCTGGGGTGACCTTTCCTCTACTTCCTTGCACCCCAGATTTACACACCTTTTTGGTCATCCTATTCTGCTTAATCCTTTATGAATGCCCAAAGAAATATACATACAATTAAATTCTATCTCATTCTACTGGACCATGCTAATGCTAGACAGGTCCTCAAATCCAATGCTGGTCATGAATTTGTCTAACCGTTTTCAAAAGTACCCCAAGGTTAAGCTTCAACACACCTATCCTAACTGCACATCACTATGCTTCCTAATATATACACAGTCATCCAGGTTTCTCTGTACAGTTGAAACAGCTCACTGCATGTTCAAAACTGCCAATTAAAGGTCGCATTATACAATATTCGTGTCTTTATTCATAATGTCAGTATTTTATACCATTTCTGCTACATCCATACAGTTAAGACAATACACAATATCACATATATCCAGATGAGAAACATGGTACAGTAGAGTGTTATATTACACGGATTTATCTGACATGTTTTGGTTATTGCACTACTGAAAAATTTTGGCACAATTTTATACAACACTTCTTTCTTATAGTCGGACTTGAGTCCTGGAAATGGGAAGTACAATGCCTGCACTTTAAAGGAGGGGTTTGGGATATTGGCAGTTTGGAGGGATATGTTGTGTATCTTTATACGCATATGCTTCTAAACTGTTGTATTCTGAGCACCTCTGCAAAAGCAGTGATAATGTGTGAGTGTGGTGAAAGTGTTGAATGATGATGAAAGTATTTTCTTTTTGGGGATTTTCTTTCTTTTTTGGGTCACCCTGCCTCGGTGGGAGACGACCAACTTGTTGAAAAAAAAAAAAAAAAAAAAACTTTGTAAAATCAACTTTACATGGTTCCGTTTGCGGGTGTGGAAAAAATTTCCCCAGCTCAAGCTGCCGCCTTGTTGTAGGTCAGCAGGGGAGACCTCCCACCATTCCTTGCCACCCCCGACACTCCTGCCACCACCACCCCAGCCTTCATGATTACGTGTTCAGTTCCATTCTGTCTTAGGAGCTAGCTGTGTTTGTGAATTGTGTTTTGATCTTTTAATTACCATATCTTGTATCTACCAAGCAGTCATGGCACCCAGTAGGCATACCAGTTTTGCTTAAATTAGCAAGAAAAGGTACAAGCACTTAACCCTTTCAAGGTCGACAGGCCCTCTCAGAGACTTGTTCTCAGGGTCGGCCAAATTTAAAAAAAAAAAAAATTATTTTTTCTTATGAAAAGATCAGAGAATCTTTTCCCGATCATAATGACACCAAAAGTATGAAATTTGATGGAAAACTTACGGAATTATGCTCTCGTGAAGTTAGCGGTCTCGACGATGTTTACGCATTGGCAATTTTGCCCACTTTGAGCCCTATTTTTGGCCAATTCCAGTGTACTTGTCGACAAAAATCATAACTATTTCGCTAGAACTCCATTTTTTCTATTGAATGAGTACAAGAAACCACCCATTTACCAATTTCAACCATCCAATACAGTGGTCAGAATTTAGCAATTTTGCCAATTTCACACAAATTTCAAAAGATGCCAATTTCCAAATAGAGTCCAGAATAAACAAAAAAGACATTCCTGGCACTAAAATAACATTTCCTCTGTTCATTAGTCATGTCCCCATGCCCCTCTTACATTCTTTTGCTTTCCACTTTGAATTTTTATTCTCACAAAAAAATAGAAGATTTACTGTTATGCAGACTACTGCATTGGTGTAGAAATGGTATAAATATTATCAGTGCACTTGTGAAAGAATATTAGACTCACCAGTTGATGTGTATTGGAGGCATAGCATGATTTGTTTACTTTTGACCTTTGGTAAAAATCAAACATTTCTGCTACTTTGAGCGCAATTTCAAGGTAGTTTTCTTTGTAAAACCAGTCAAAATCATCTCAATTTCTGTAATATGTCTTCCATTCTATAAAATGAGACCTGGAAAACTAGAATACAACAATAAATACCATACAAAAGTACAGTGCAAAGTCACTGTTTTAATCCAAAAACACAAAGTTTTTTTTTTTCTCATTACGCACTGTGTGCTGTAGGATTTTTTTTTATATCGCGCACACTGACCACATAGACCCATTCTTTCATATGTATGCCTACCAGCTTTCTCTCACTAGATTTGAGGGCGCTAGAATTTAGGCGTACTAGTACGTCAAAAACCCTGGGTCGTAAGCCGTACTAGTACGGCCGAAACCCTGAAAGGGTTAAGTCTTAGAGTTAATGAAGAAAATAGAGATATTAGAGATAGCCTGTGTATGTAATGACGCATCACTTTATGCAATTAAAAAGACCGAGGTAAATATATGAGTTTGTGTTATGAATAACTGACTGACTGACTTGACCGACTTACTGACTGACTTGATTGACTGACTTACTGACTTAATTGACTGACTTTCTGACTTACTTTACCAGCTGACTTGATTGCTTTATTGATTGACTTGACTGATTTACTGACCAAACTGACTGGTTTATTGACTGACTTGACTGGTTTATTGACTGACTTGACTAATTTACTGACTTGACTGATTTACTGACTTAAAATTAGACTTTTTCACTGAAGAGGACTCTGAAATGGTGTCTAGAGCAGCTGAAGCCTTACCATCAGTTGTATAATGTACTGCAGGGTAAAATAGAACAGAAACCTATCACAGAATTTATGTAAACTCCAGTACAACCATCGACTTCAGTACCAGTACCTCTACCATCCACCTCAGCCCAGTAGGACCACAACATAACTCTCCGCTCTCTTCATAATCATCCACAAACACCAGCACCCAAAATTTAAGGTAAGAAATACTATTATTTCTGTTGCATTTGTAGTCTTAAGCCGTAAAAACAACATAATACATCACGACAATGAACTACAATTACATATTCACTTTTATTTTTGTAAGATCTGGAGGTCTAAAAAAAAGTTGCTTGGCTTTTTGGGGCCTCTTAGGAATGTAACCCTATTTTTCCCACAGGTTCTTCAGTTTATCTAACGTGGATCTACCTAACACGGCATTTTCAGGACCCTAACTACCGTGTAATATAAAGGTCTACTGTATAAAACTCCCAATCTCTCAGTAGTAAAAATAAAACCATGAAAATATATAGAAATGTTGAAAAACAGTGTTAACTAGCATGCTTTCAGAAAAATTATAAATTTAATTTGAATACTTGCCTGAAAATGATATTCTGGACAATTATCAGCAAACTTAGGGTGAATAAAGCCACAGGAGAGCATGTTTTGACGGAGATAGTATCCCACAGCTTGCAAGAATGGAAGTGCGTGGGCATTCACAGTAAACCTGATGAAAGGCAAGCATATTATATACAGTACATACAGTATATACAAAGATACCCACATAAATTGTATTGTATGCTATATATGCTGTGACTAATGATTCTAAGTCAGTTATGCAAGCCAAACTGCATAAAAAAACAAATTTTGAAAGTTTAACCTGTAGGGTGATACAACACCTAGGAATGGAAGGTAAACATATTTGATCTATCTGAACAGAGAGCTTTCACAAGTATTAAGTCTTCACCATAAAAGGTTCACACACAAATAAAACCTGCCAGAAAGACTAAAGCCAAACCTGAGGACAGTTTTTGGTGACTGATAAGGTGGCTGAATAAAATGAACATCCTCGGGCGTGAGTTTATGTTGTGGGTTACTCCAGAGCATCAGGCAAATAGCTTCAACCACAGCTTCATCCAGACGGTTCTGTAACATCCTCACTAATTCCTCCTTGATTGCTGGACCTGAGGGAAAACTACCAGTCAAGACTCCAAAGTGCTTATTTTTTTTTAACACATAGACAGTTTCCCACCAAAGCAGGGTGGCCCAAAAATGAAGGAACTTTCTCTATCACTGTTTTGCAAAGAACCCTCTTACTCCATAACACATTCTGTTTTACTTTTAGTGAGATAAATTGTTACAATCAGAAACATTTACCTCTTGAGGAACATGGTATGTACAGCCAGGTTTCAATTAGCAAGTAGAGCAGGGCCCCGCTTTATGGTGTTTCGCTTTACGGAGTTCCGTTAACACAGACATTTCAAATTATGACCAAAACTTGCTAAGCCCCTCCCCCCACCTGACTTTCTAATACGGTCACCATGCCCCACCCGGTTTGTTTACATTCTCCGTGAACTCCGTAAGCACTACGTCTCTCCATTATGTCTGAAAACTCCAAAATTTCAAGTGTTTTTAAAAGTTATTTCATATTTTATATATAGTACTCTGATAATTATATTTATGTATACCTGTACCTAAATAAACTTACACGAAGTTGATGAGAAGAATTCAATCAATCAAAGACCAGGCAGGACTACAAAGGGATCTGGACAGGCTGCAGACCTGGTCCAGCAATTGGCTCCTGGAGTTCAATCCCACCAAGTGCAAAGTCATGAAGATTGGGGAAGGGCAAAGAAGACCGCAGACGGAGTACAGTCTAGGGGGCCAGAGACTACAAACTTCATTCAAGGAAAAAGATCTTGAGGTGAGTATAACACTAGGCACATCTCCTGAAGCTCACATCAACCAAATAACTGCTGCAGCATATGGGCGCCTAGCAAACCTCAGAACAGCATTCCGGCATCTTAACCCTTTCAGGGTCCAAGGCCCAAATCTGGAGTCACGCACCAGTGTCCAAGAATTTAAAAAAAAAAAATTTGTTATTTTTTCTTATGAAATCGTAGAGAATCTTTTTGTGAAGGTAATAAAACAAAAAGTACGAAATTTGGTGGAAAATTGACGAAATTATGCTCTCGCGAATTTTGATGTGTCAGCGACATTTACGAATCGGCGATTTTGCCGACTTTGACTCCCCTTTTAGGCCAATTACATTATTCCAATCAACCAAATTCTTAGCTATTTCACTAGTATTACTTCTATTCTATCGATTGAGCACAAGAAATCGCCAAGTCAACTGTTTCAACTACAAAATAAAGTGATCGGAAATTGTTAATTTGGCCAATTTAACACAAAGTTCAAAATATTCCAATTTCAAAATAGGGTCCAGAATGAACAATGTAGGCATTCCTGGCACTAAACTAACATTTCCTCTGTTCATTAGTTATGTTTTGAGGCTTTACAAATAAATTCCATTTTGATTTTTTATTCACATAATGAATTTTTATTCACACCAAAAAATAGAAGATTTACTGTTATGCAATACTGTAATAATTGTATAAATATCATCACCATATTTGTGAATGTATATTAGACCCACCAGCTGACGTGTATTAGATGTGTGAGGTCGTTTGTTTACTCTTGAATATCGGCAAAAATTTAACATTTCCGCTACTTTGAGCTCAGTTTCAAGCCATTTCCAGTGCTAAAACCAATCAAAATCATCTCTATTTCTGTAATATGTTTTCCATTCTATCAAATGAGACCAAGAAATCGCAAATACAACTATAAAAAACATACGAAAAAACACTGCAAAGTTGCTGTTTTAATCGAAAAATCATGATTTCATTTTTTTTCTCTCATTATACACAGTGTGTTGCAGGATCTGTTTTATGTGGTGCACACATACCACATAGATGTATTCTCTCATATCTAGGCCCAAATGTACCACTCACAGTTTATCAGAGTGAGCTGAGCTCATGGCGTAGATCTACGGTTTGGACCCTGAACGTAAAGCCGTAGATCTACGGGACGGACCCTGAAAGGGTTAATAAGGAATCGTTCAGGACCCTGCACACCGTGTATGTTAGGTCCATATTGGAGTATACGGCACCAGTTTGGAACCCACACCTAGCCAAGCACGTAAAGAAACTAGAGAAAGTGCAAAGGTTTGCAACAAGACTAGTCCCAGAGCTAAGAGGTATGTCCTACAAGGGGAGGTTAAGGGAAATCAACCTGACGACACTGGAGGACAGGAGAGATAGGGGGGACATGATAATGACATACAAAATACTGAGAGGAATTGACAAGGTGGACAAAGACAGGATGTTCCAGAGATTGGACACAGTAACAAGGGAGGACAGTTGGAAGTTGAAGACACAGATGAATCACAGGGATGTTAGAAAGTATTTCTTCAGCAACAGAGTAGTCAGGAAGTGGAATAGTTTGGGAAGCGATGTAGTGGAGGCAGGATCCATACATAGCTTTAAGTGAGGTTGTAAAGCTCCGGTTCGGGAGGTGCACGTAGCGACCAGTAAGAGGGGGGGCCAGGGTTGGACTCAACCCGAACCTCAATGGTGAGTACAATAGGGACCCTGTGCTGCATACAGGTACAATTAAAATCACTAGAGTGTCTTTGTCTAAGATGCTTTTTTTTTTTTTATTAAAAAAGGGCCCAAATTTCCCACAAAGGAGGGTGGCCCGAAAAAGAAAAACTTTCCCCATCATTCACCATCACTGTCTTGCCAGAAGGGTGCTTACCTACAGTTTTTAAACGAAACAAAACACCCCCCTTCAGATGAGGCACTCTCTTCCCATTTAAGGATCAAGCCCAGCCTCCCGGTTTTTCCCTGAATCTCTTCAAAATGTTACTTTGCTCACACTCCAAAGCACGTAAAAGTATTAAAAACCATTGTTCATTCACTCCTATCAAACACCTCACGCATGCCTGCGGGAAGTCCACCCCTGCCACAAAACCCCCTTTACCCCCTCCCTCCAAACCCTTTTCCCTAGGTGCCCCCTACCCCCCTTTCCCTTTCCAAACCAGACTATACACTCTTAAAGTTTCTGTTTCGCTCCTTCTTTTAATGTCCAAACCATTCAACAACCCTTTCCTCACCCCTCGGGAAAATTTTTGGGTAATCCCGCACCCCCTCCTAACTCCAAACTTGAATTCTTGCTTTTATTTTCCCAACCACCATTCCCCTCGACATGACATCCCCACCCCTCCAGCCTTCCCCTCGTGCGACATTCATCCCCCATGTTCACAACCATATAAGAGCGTTGGTAAAATATCTCTCTTTATTCCCCTCTTTGCCTCCCGGGCAAAAGTTCTTGTTCCCCAGCTCCTAAATGCACCACCCCCCTTTTCCCCCCCATCAATTCTATGATTCACCCATCTTTCATAGACCCATCCGTGACATCCCTCCCAAAAATCTGAATCTTCACCTCCCCATACTTCTCCCCCAATATGATATCGATTTTTCATTTCCCAATCTTTTTGTTTTCCCATAAACCTTTTCTTTACTGTATTCCTTTTTAAAATTTTTTTTCTTTTGCAACCCTACCAAAATTTTCCCAAACTCCGCAACTTTCTTCGAAACTCCAAGAGCCGTGTCTCAGCAAAGGCAAATGTGACAACTCCCCCTTTTTGTGTGATTTTTTATCTTTTTAAATCCCACCTCTTGCCAAGACCCCCGCATTTTACTTCTCTTACAACCCCATTTAATTTTAAACAACCCGGTGACCACACATCCTGTCTAAAGGGCCCACTTTTTGGGAAATAATTTTCCCTTTTTCCACATCTTAAATTTAGCCCCACTTTCCTCATAAAACTCTCACTGCTTTCAGTAAAACCCCCTCTAAACCCTACACCGCAAACTTCTCCCATTGCCCCCCTATCCACCCGTCATACACCTTTTCCAAATCCCTAAAAAGCCCCAAAGCCTCTTTTCCCTTTTCTAATATGTTCACTTATATGTTCACTTTATTAGTAATAATAAAAATAAAATAATCACCCGGGCTTATTAAAAATGTTATTCTTAATATACACATTTCCATTAAATGGGACCCTTTATATTTTTAAAATTTATAAAAACATGATAGTAACATATAAAGTGATAATAACCTCACAGTTGAATACTATGAGATGTTTTTTTTTGAAGGTTTTATTGAAGCTATTGAAAGTTATTTTTGAAGAAATTTGCGGAGAATAGGTAGCAGTGAACAAAGGAGGGTTTTGGGAAAGGTAGGGGGTGTGGGGACCAAGTGTTTACGTGAAAAAATATAAGTGAACAGTTTTAGTAAGGCTTAAAGAGGTCTTTGTGGATTTATGGATTTGGAAAAGGTTTTTGACAAGGTGGTAGGGGCAATGTGGCAGATGTTGAGGTGTATGGTGTCGGAGGTTTGGTTACTGAGCGTGAAGAGTTTTTACGAGGATGTGAGGGGGCAAGTTTTTAAATAAGAGGAAAGAGGGGTTATTTCCCAGTAAAGTGGCCCTTTGCAGGATGTGTGTGTCCCGTGGGTTGTTTAATTATTTATAGATGGGGTTGTAAAAAGGGAAAAAATGCGGGGTCTTGGAAGGGTGTGGAGTTAAAAGATAAAGAATCACACATAAAGTGGGAGTTGTCACAGTTGCTCTTTGCTGATGACACTGTGCTCTTGGGAGATTCTGAAGAGAAGTTGCAGAGATTGGTGGATGAATTTGGTAGGGTGTGCAAAAGAAGAAAATTAAAAGTGAATACAGGAAAGAGTAAGGTTATGAGGATAACAAAAAGATTAGGTGATGAAAGATTGGATATCAGATTGGAGGGAGAGAGTATGGAGGAGGTGAATGTATTCAGATATTTGGGAGTGGACGTGTCAGCGGATGGATCTATGAAAAATGAGGTGAATCATAGAACTGATGAGGGGAAAAGGGTGAGCAGTGCACTTAGGAGTCTGTGGAGATAAGGAACTTTGTCCTTGGAGGCAAAGAGGGGAATGTATGAGAGTATAGTTTTACCAATGCTCTTATATGGGTGTGAAGCATGGGTGATGAATGTTGCAGTGAGGAGAAGGCTGGAGGCAGTGGAGATGTCATGTCTGAGGGCAATGTGTGGTGTGAATATAATGCAGAGAATTCGTAGTTTGGAAGTTAGGGAGAGGTGCGGGATTGCCAAAACTGTTGTCCAGCGGGCTGAGGAAGGGTTGTTGAGGTAGTTCGGACATGTAGAGAGCATGGAGCGAAACAGAATGACTTCAAGAGTGTATCAGTCTGTAGCGGAAGGAAGGCGGGGTAGGGGTCGGCCTAGGAAAGGTTGGAGGGAGGGGGTAAAGGAGGTTTTGTGTGCGAGGGGCTTGGACTTCCAGCAGGCATGCGTGAGCTTGTTTGATAGGAGTGGAGACAAATGGTTTTTAATACTTGACGTGCTGTTGGAGTGTGAGCAAAGTAACATTGATGAAGTGATTCAGGGAAACCGGCAGGGCGGACTTGAGTCCTGGAGATTGGAAGTACAGTGCCTGCACTCTGAAGGAGGGGTGTTAATGTTGCAGTTTAAAAATTGTAGTGTAAAACACCCTTCTGGCAAGACAGTGATGGAGTGAATGATAGTGAAAGTTTTTCTTTTTTGGGCCACCCTGCCTTAGTGGGAATTGGCCAGAGTGTTAATAAAAAATAAAAATACTATGAGATGTGGTAGCCAGACAACTTGTACAAGTGACGGCAAGAATAACGTTTTTCTCTAGTCCAAAATCAGAGAAAATGTGTACACTATAATATTAGTTGGCCTAACTGTAGAAAATTATTCCTTTCGTATGCCTTCACTCAGAGCGTCATTTCTTCTAAAAATGGAGTTACATGAGAATGGGAGTGTTCCTCTTTATTTATTCTACTGTATCAACGTGAAGACAACTTGTACACAATGTAACTTGTGGACAAACCAGACGTGTTTGCTTGGCTTGTTTACAAAACTGGCGTACACCTGGTTTGTTTACATAACTCTGTGCCTGTCCTCTCTCATGTTCTCATTCTCTCTCTCGTTTATTTGTTTTATCTCGTTTACTCACCTCTGACCCTACATTAAGACTAAAAATATTTTAAGGTAAGTATGAGCAAACTGTATATACATTTTATCACTCTGGGATGCTTAAATGTCATAGAATATTATGTGTGAGTGGGGTGGTCTGGTATGGTAGTCTGGCTGGCTACCATACATACCACACCTGATTTCTTACAATAAATACTACTCACTTCACCCTAGATTAAGACTACAAATATTTTAAGATAAGTAATGAGTGTACTATATGTGTATTTTACTTTTTTATTGCTTTTTAGTGCCAAGTTCTATTACTAACTTAATATATGTTAGTGTAAACTTGTTACCTAGTATTTCTATGCATTTATAAGTGGAAAAAAAAAGGGTGTTCCACTTTACGGCAGTAGCCTGGAACCTACCCTGCCGTGTAAGTGGGGCCCTACTATATAATAATCCCATGAAGGGGTCACATTATTCAAATTTGCACTATTCGAATTATACGTAATTTTTGAGCATGATTTGAAGAGTTTGGGAAAAAACTAGCATAAATTAATTTCACACTAAAGTGAAATTTGCACTCTTTGAACTTGCGCTAATCAAGACCCAACTTATAGGTGGTCACTAATTTACAAGTAAGTTGTATTCTTGGTGTGTCATCTTATAAACAACTTGATTTTTAAAGAAAATATCACAAAGAATGTTTTACACTTGTTCATCTTGCACAATGGCTTGTAAAAATTAAATTAATTAGTTCCAAAGTGCCCAGTTTGTAAATGTAAGCAAAATTTCAATTTAATAAACTAATAGGGAAGAGCAGGTGACTGGTAATGGTAACTGTGGTGAAAAGAGACGAGTCTTTTACTGTGATTATAACAGATAATGAACTTCATTCATTATTTCTGAATCAAATGACCATGAGTTTTGTCCCAAATTTTCCAAGTCCATTCCACTGTAGGTGCACTGATAAACTTGCAATTTGGAGACCTTCATATAAATACAGTTGCCTAAAACTGATTTTTTTTTTAAACACATCTGTCATTTCCCATTGAGGAAGGGTGACCCCAAAAAAAACAAAAAGAAAGAAACAACACTTTCATAATCAGTCAACACTTTCACCATCACTCATACATAATCACTGTCTTTGCAGAGGCGCTCAGATACAACAGTTTACATGTCCCTCCAAACTGCCAATATCCCAAACCCCGCCTTTAAAGTGCAAGCAATGTACTTCCCACTTCCAGGATTCAAGTCTGGCTAAGCAGAAAACCAAAAAACTGATATATGCTTAAAATGAAAGCATAAAATGTTTTAACTTCCAAGCAACAAGGTTGGCCTGTATCATTAATCTGTCTAAATTACTGTAACTGAGTGAAATAAAAAAAAATACCTGGTTCAGCAATGCCATGCACAGTTAGGATTATATAATGGTTGCGCTTGCGTTGTGCTGGTGCTGATGGTACTCCCTCCATTATCACATCCTTCTCTCCAAAGGAACTCACACGAGGTCGTAGCTCCTGAAAACATACATAATGTCAATCTGTCTTAGATGTATGCACTCTGGTACTCCTTTCATTATCCCATCCTTACAATACAACTTATTTCTTTTCTGCAGTAAACAAAATGTAGTTTACATGTAATAAAATATTGTTAAACACAAAAGAAAGCCACTAGCATGCAGTACAAAGGAAGTAACATGAGGTTGTAGCTGCTGAAAGCATACATAATGTCAATCTGTCTCCTACTTAATAACCTATGTCTAGTTCTTGTGTAGTCTTTAAGCATTAGAATTAGTTTGCCTAAATTGCACTGCATGCTAGTGGCTTTCTTTTGTGCCTACCAATATTTTATTACATGTAAACTATCTGTATACTGCATAAAATAAAACATTTCAATTTGAATATATGTACTCTGTGATATGTAATTACTACTATTGTAATAATAGGAATAGAGATTAGATTATGGTGTCTTATTTTCAGTATCTAATATACTGCATCATTTAATTACCAGTAACTCTGGCACTTGCTGTAATCCAGTCTACTATTCTATCACTGTGAAAGTCAACTTTGTACTGTAGTACTCTGAGGTACCCTTTCTTCCTTAGTATATAACTCTCTGGCACTTGCTGTAATCCATTATTCTACCACTGTGAAAGTTAACTTTCCACTGTAGCATCCTGTGGCAGCCTTTCTTCCTTAGTATATAGCTATGACCTTCTGTTCTCTCTACTGGTGGTACAGAATAAGAAAGTCTTTCATATCAATGCAGAGATGTGTGTGTGTTCTATGACTTAGAGCTGTTTTGGGATTGGTTTATGCTATGGTATTCTGCTGGAACATATTGCACAGGTCAAAAATAGAGTACAGGCCTAAAACTGAGTATCACTACTGGTATGGGTCTCAGTATTGGTATGAATATCGGTAAAAAAGTTGGTATCATCCCGTCCCCTCCAGTCTGCCCTTTCATGACATCATGTAGCATTCTACATTCAAAAGCATAAAACATTTTCCTAAAAAAGCAAATTTAACCCATAAACTGTCCAAACGTAGATCTAAGTTCAAGTGCGTAGCGCTCCGACCTTGATTTTCCCCATTTGAAAGCATGTAAAAAAACATAGATCTACGTTCGGAGCCCCTCGCACATGGACGTAGATCTACGTTTGGACAGTTTAAGGGTTAAAGTATATTAGTCCTGACCAATATATGGTGAATATTATATATATTAGAATAGAGTGCATTATTATATATATATATTTTTTTTTTTTTCAACAAGTCGGTCGTCTCCCACCGAGGCAGGGTGACCCAAAAAAAGAAAGAAAATCCCCAAAAAGAAAATACTTTCATCATCATTCAACACTTTCACCACACTCACACATTATCACTGCTTTTGCAGAGGTGCTCAGAATATAACAGTTTAGAAGCATACACGTATAGAGATACACAACATATCCCTCCAAACTGCCAATATCCCAAACCCCTCCTTTAAAGTGCAGGCATTGTACTTCCCATTTCCAGGACTCAAGTCCGACTATATGAAAATAACCGGTTTCCCTGAATCCCTTCACTAAATATTACCCTGCTCACACTCCAACAGATCGTCAGGTCCCAAGTATCATTCGTCTCCATTCACTCCTATCTAACACGCTCATGCACGCTTGCTGGAAGTCCAAGCCCCTCACCCACAAAACCTCCTTTACCCCCTCTTTCCAACCCTTTCGAGGACGACCCCTACCCCTCTTTCCTTCCCCTATAGATTTATATGCTTTCCATGTCATTCTACTTTGATCCATTCTCTCTAAATGACCAAACCACCTCAACACACCCCTCTTCTGCCCTCTGACTAATGCTTTTATTAACTCCACACCTTCTCCTAATTTCCACACTCCGAATTTTCTGCATAATATTTACACCACACATTGCCCTTAGACAGGACATCTCCACTGCCTCCAACCGTCTCCTCGCTGCTGCATTTACCACCAAGCTTCACATCCATATAAGAGTGTTGGTACTACTATACTTTCATACATTCCCTTCTTTGCCTCCATAGATAACATTTTTTGACTCCACATATACCTCAACGCACCACTCACCTTTTTTCCCTCATCAATTCTATGATTAACCTCATCCTTCATAAATCCATCCGCCGACACGTCAACTCCCAAGTATCTGAAAAACATTCACTTCTTCCATACTCCTCCTCCCCAATTTGATATCCAATTTTTTCTTTATCTAAATCATTTGATACCCTCATCACCTTACTCTTTTCTATGTTCACTTTCAACTTTCTACCTTTACACACATTCTCAAACTCATCCACTAACCTTTGCAATTTTTCTTTAGAATCTCCCATAAGCACAGTATCATCAGCAAAAAGTAACTGTGTCAATTCCCATTTTGAATTTGATTCCCCATAATTTAATCCCACCCCTCTCCCGAACACCCTAGCATTTACTTCTTTTACAACCCCATCTATAAATATATTAAACAACTATGGTGACATTACACATCCCAGTCTAAGACCTACTTTTACCGGGAAGTATTCTCCCTCTCTTCTACACACCCTAACCTGAGCCTCACTATCCTCATAAAAACTCTTTACAGCATTTAGTAACTTACCACCTATTCCATATACTTGCAACATCTGCCACATTGCTCCTCTATCCACTCTATCATATGCCTTTTCTAAATCCATAAATGCAATAAAAACTTCCCTACCTTTATCTAAATACTGTTCACATATATGCTTCAATGTAAACACTTGATCTACACATCCCCTACCCACTCTGAAACCTCCTTGCTCGTCCGCAATTCTACATTCTGTCTTACCTCCAATTCTTTCAATTATAACCCTACCGTATACTTTTCCTGGTATACTCAGTAAACTTATTCCTCTATAATTTTTACAATCTCTTTTGTCCCCTTTCCCTTTATATAAAGGGACTATACATGCTCTCCGCCAATCCCTAGGTACCTAACCTTCCCCTCTTTCATACATTTATTAAACAAAAGTACCAACCACTCCAACACCATATCCCCCCCTGCTTTTAACATTTCTGTCATGATCCCATCAATTCCAGCTGCTTTACCCCCTTTCATTCTACGTAATGCCTCACATACCTCCACCACACTTACATTCTGCTCTTCTTCACTCCTAAAAGATGGTATACCTCCCTGGCCAGTGCATGAAATTACCGCCTCCCTTTCTTCCTTAACATTTAAAAGTTCCTCAAAATATTCTCGCCATCTACTTAATACCTCCCTCTCCCCATCTACTAACTCCCCTACTCTGTTTTTAACTGACAAATCCATACTTTCCCTAGGCTTTCTTAACTTGTTTAACTCACTCCAAAATTTTTTCTTATTTTCATTAAAATTTCTTGACAGTGCCTCTCCCACTCTTTCATCTGCTCTCCTTTTGCACTCTCTCACCACTCTCTTCACCTTTCTTTTACTCTCCATATACTCTGCTCTTCTTACAACACTTCTGCTTTGTAAAAACCTCTCGTAAGCTACCTTTTTATCTTTTATCACACCCTTTACTTCATCATTCCACCAATCACTCCTCTTTCCTCCTGCCCCCACCCTCCTATAACCACAAACTTCTGCCCCACATTCTAATACTGCATTTTTAAAACTATTCCAACCCTCTTCAACCCCCCCACCACTTGCATTTGTGGTCACAGTGGTGCCTGTGCTAACCTTCCTATGGTGTAGAAATATACCTAGTTGGACAAATCTTATTGTGGCTAGCTGGTCTAGTGGCTAACGCGACGGGCTGGAGTTTTGAGACTCTCTGACCGCGGGTTCAATCCCAGCCGGGGTATGGTTTGTTTGCAATCGTGTCATTACGATTTTGTGAGTCATACTCTTCCCTCCTTGCATCACTTCCATTTTGTAAAAACTTTTTCTCCCTTGCCACTCTCTTTACATCATTCCACCAATCGCTCTTCTTCCCTCCTGCACCCACTTTCCTGTAACCACAAACTTCTGCTGAACACTCTCTACATTTTTAACCTACCCCATACATCTTTGTCCCCATTGCCTATACTTTCATTAGCCCATCTATCCTCCAACAGTTGTTTATATCTTACCCTAACTGCCTCTTCTTTTAGTTTATAAACCTTCACCTCTCTCTTACTTGCTGCTTCTATTTTCCTTGTATCCCATCTACCTTTTACTCTCACTGTAGCTACAACTAAAGTGATGTGATATATCTGTGGCCCCTCTATAAATATATACATCCTGAAGTCTACTCAACAGTCTTTTATCTACCAATACGTAGTCCAACAAACTACTGCCATTGTGCCCCACATCATATCTTGTATACTTATTTATCCTCTTTTTCTTAACCCTTTCAGGGTCCATGCCGTAGATCTGCGGCTTTACGTTCAGGGTCCAAATCGTAGATCTACGCCATGAGCTAAGCTCACTCTGATAAGCTGTGAGCAGTAAATTTGGGCCTAGATATGAGAGAATACATATATGTGGTATGTGTGCACCACATAAAACAAATCCTGCAGCACACAGTGCGAGAGAAAAAACTGAAACCGTAATTTTCGATTAAAACAGTGACTTTGCAGTGTTTTTCTTATGTTTGTTTATAGTTGTATTTGCAATTTCTTGGTCTCATTTGATAGAAAGGAAGATATACTACAGAAATAGAGATGATTTTGATTGGTTTTAGTACTGGAAATGGCTTGAAACTGAGCTCAAAGTAGAAGAAATGTTAAATTTTTGCCAATGTTCAAGAGTAAACAAATGACCTCACATATCTAATACACGTCAGCTGGCGGGTCTAATATACATTCACAAATGTGGTGATGATATTTATACAATTATTACAGTATTGCATAACAGTAAATCTTCTATTTTTTGGTTTGAATAAAAATTCATTATGTGAATAAAAAATAAAAATGGAATTCATTTGTAAAGCCTCAAAACATAACTAATGAACAGAGGAAATGTTAGTTTAGTGCCAGGAATGCCTGCATTGTTTATTCTGGGCCCTATTTTGAAAT